GAGACATAAATCGTAAGTAGATACATTTGCTGTTATTTTCCGTTCACATATCAAAAATGTCCCTTCCAATTCGTTTTTGCAAACCTCACATCGCGTGAATTTTCGATAAGTTAGACAGAAACTTTAAAAAGGTACAGTCACGGGTTTTCTCAAGTTTGTCTGTTTTGGCAGATCAAGCAATACCAGAACATGCCTACGGACACACATATTTGATCAGAATCGGCTGTTGGACACCTTAAAAGTGATCCTTCGTGTTTCCCTGAAATTTACGGGAGGAAAGATGTGGGGTTTGGAAAAACACGTTGATATTTTACAATGGACCATTGCTGCCGGCAGCTGCTGGGAGAGGAGAAGCCTGCCGGCGGTGGTGGCGCCATCTGGACCGTCGAATACTACCGACGCTACTTCAACGTCGACACGAGCGACGTTCGAGACCGCTGTCTCTGGTCCATGGTCCCCAAACCGGGTACCAACTTCCTGAAAGACCGGCTTCAGCAGAATCCAGATCTTTACGGTCCGTATTGCATATTTGTGTTGCGTTTGCAATGTGCACGCTCCAAAGTACACGTTTTTTAGGTGCGCATGCATGCAGATGAGACTTGTCAATATTCCTATAAATTCCCTGATCAACCAGCAGGAAAATCGTAAATCTAGATGAAAAATAGAGTTGTTTTCACTAACGTAAGTACGGGCTCGGGGGATGTTTGAACAGTTCTCGGATACCGTGGGTTCTGGTGCCCCGGTAATTGATGCACTCGAGGTTTTCCTATTGTTTGTAGGCAAACAGAAAATACGCCAACATGTTACGGACGATCAAAATACAAGTCTTTATAAAACATAATAGTCTAAAAAAATTATTGCTTTCTGGGCATATGTACAGGTAACATTTAGACCAGTATAACGCCTTTTGGGGCGACTAACGAAGCGAGCGAGAGGGTGGGCCTTTCACGTGCGAAATTACGAGGCGGTACCTCCAACTGACTTGTGCACGGCACCCTACTAACCGGTCTCTAGCGATGTGCCAAATTTGAGCACAATCGGCCCAGCCGTTCTCGAGATCTGGAAGCGGCACCCTGCACGTGCGCACGTGCAAAATGGGTACCAACTGACTTGTGCACGGCACCCTAGTAGCCGGTCCCTAACCGTGCACCAAATTTGAGCGCAATCGGTCCAGCTGTTCTCGAGATATGGAATCGACCCCTGCACGTGCGCACGTGCAGCAGCACCCCAACTGTGGCACATGCAAATGCATTGCCTAGTGGGTGCCTACCTACATGCCAACTTTCAGCGCAATCGGCTAAGTACATAGTTACCGAGATATTGCAACAATTACAAAAGTGACACCTCTTCGTTTTGCACGTGGCACGTGCATAAGGGGTCACCCACATGCATCGGGAATAGTCAGATACTTGGTAGAAGGAATGAAGCTACCCTATAAAATTTACCTCATGTAAATCGGTCAAGTGGTTGCTGAGACATAAGCGTCGCAAAAGCGTAACCATGGCCGGCCGCTCATACTCAGAAATTTCCGTTATTCTACGTACGACTCCGCTCGCTTCGCTCGCTCCGTAATAAAGCAAAAAGAGTATCTTGACAAATCAATTTACGCTTTGTTGCTTAGTTGCAAATGACAAGTATCTTTTAATGCACTGGTTAGATTGCGAATATGTGACCCGATCTGTATCGTGACACGTATGCTTGTGATATATGACGTTCAGTAATTGTGCGCTGTGGCGCCCGTAACGGTTCGTGTCGTGACGGCAGGTCCGTTCTGGATCGGCGTCACCTTGGTCATCTCGATCGCTGTGATGGGGAACCTGGCCAACTACCTGCAGGTGGCGGCTGCCGGCGACCGCTACCACTGGAGATACGACTTTCACAAACGTACGTCCAACCAGGCCCCTTACACAGCCGGTCAGCCGCGGAACACGGCCACTGGCTGTCTGCTTTATGTTATCCGCGCACCCACAGATAACAGTAGTACCAGTAGTTGCCATTATGCAAAAATGCAGCAATAAACACGAGCACGGCTAGTCGATTGCTTCTTTATAAGTTTCATTCACATAAACCAACATTTTTTGTTGCCTGTGAGAGGAGATATCGAAATATGGGCACGAAATATTCGGTTCTGTTTTCGGCCTCTTACTGCAGCCACCGGAATCCTGTTTCCAATCCAGTACTACTGTTATCTGTGGCGCTCCTAAAATAGTCACTTACTGTAAAATAATCGACTAAAACAGCAACGCGTGCCATAACCTCTTATTCTCGTCAAGAGTAAACCAATGCCTATCACATGGTAGCTAAAGTAATCATATGGCTTCTTTTTTCCCATGTTTGATTAATCATAGGATTCCAATCTATCATGGGACTGGGTAGAAAATGTCTGTTTTGGTATCGACGTAAAAGCTTTATTTCTGTTGATACATTGACACAACTGACAACAAAACCGTTTTTTCTAATTATATATTAGTAGCACAACTAAATTGGCTGAGCAAATTGCCAACATGCTATGTTGGCCTGAAAACTTCAGTCAGAAATATGGAATAATTGTTTTAAGTCAAAGAAGAGGTTCGCTGGTGAGCGTGTTATTCGACCCGGCCACTGGTCGTGCAGTTGTTTGTTTGCGCGCCTCGGCCGCTGCCGGGACGTGCTGACGGCTCCGTCTGGTCGCAGTGACGCTGGCAGCCACGGTGGTGTTCTGCTACTCGTGTCTGGTGCCGATCGCGCTGTGGGCCGTGCTCTGGTGGCGCGGCGTGCAGGCCACCGTCACCCTGCTGCAGCTCGTCTGTCTGTACGGCTACTCCCTCACCGTCTACATACCCATCTCGGTACGTGTGACCCGGTGGAGCCGTTTGTGGGACAGAGGTATACGAGGTCAACTGGCGACCTTTGACGTGTTGTTGCTGAGTTGGTTGCTGGCTCGGGACGGCGGGCGGCTGTCGTTTAGAGACCCCTGGACCGGTGGATGGTGACGCTATCTGGCGAGTAGCTGTCGACTCTGGGGCGGTGGCAGTGTCGTTATGAGCCACGACCGACGACAGAGCACGCTCAGCACAGAGTCCCTACCTGAGGTGATCGCTGACCGGCGGACCGCCCCGACAGGTGCTGTGCGCGTCCGGCGTCTGGCAGCTGCAGTGGGCGCTGATGCTGGCCGGGTTCGCCGTCTCCGGCGCCGTGCTGGCCGCCAGCCTGTGGTCGGCGCTCGGCGAGGAGCAGCGCCGGCTCGCCATCGCCGTCACCGCCGTCGTGCTGCTGCTCCACCTGGCACTGGCCGCCGGCTTCCTGGTCAGACCTCTCTCTCTCTCTAGTTCAGAAAGCATAGCAGTGCACGCCATGCCGCGTATTTACGCATTAGTTGATGAAAAAGTGACTAAGCTTGAGTTCTTTGACACTTAGGTAATTTGTAACACAAATTTTGTTGCTGGATTTGACATAATTCCGTAAAAACTAGCTATACTTATCTGAAGACTGAATGTTGCATTGTAGCTAGAGTTGTTCTCTCGACTATTTTCAGATGCGATTGACTTTGTTCTGTTCATGATACAATGACTATGTGAGTTGAGCAGAGCGACATACCCATGTCATAAGCACGGTTTGGCACCCGTGTGGTATATACTTCATCCATGGTATTGTGTAACCTGTCCATCTGTGTCGTGCGAGGGTTGCCATGCTTACTATAGATGTCAATCGGATACCAACTTTTTGGTATACCGATACCAAACCGATACCAACTTGGTATTTGGTATTTCAATCGTAATGTGTTTGGTATTTTGTTGGTATCATAAGCCCTCACTAATGTATAAGAGACTAAGAAATCGGTAAAAAGTTGGTATTTCCCTCAGTTTCCCAAGTTGGTTTGGTTTCGGTATTTTCCCATGGTTTTGGTTGGTATTTGGTTTGGTATCGGTATTCCGATTTTCCGTAATTGACATCACTAATGCTTACGACAGCGTCTGATCGATCCCTCCCGTGCCGCGTTTCAGTTGTACTTTTTCCGGTCGCCGGTACCAGCCACCGACGTGCAGGCCACGACGGCTGCGGCTGCCGTGGCGGCGGCGACTGCGGAGAAAACTGCGGCGCCGGCCAGCCCGGCGGCCAAGCGGGCGGCGTCCGATCCGGCCGCTCCCGCAGGTGATCAGGGGGCCGCCGCAGCGAAAACAAAAGACGCCACACCACCAGATGCGGCCGGCGGCGGCGGCGCCGACGCGAGTGCTGCTGCGAAGCCCGCGCAGCGGTAGGCAGAGTGGACGATCGGGCCTTCGACAGCGGCCCGGCGCCCGCTGTCTGCGGCGACATGCCGCTTATGTCAGCGAGGGAGGCTGCGGAAGCTCAGTAGGCTCAGGCCTAGCCCGGTCCCTCCAATGCGTTCTGCAGAGAACAGGCAGCGCCTGCTGGTGGCGAGGTAGGCTATCTACATATAGCCCTGCTATCAGGCGTGGTGTGACCGTGTGATGTGTTGCTCCCCGGTGATGGGACCACGCTGAAGGAGCCAGCCGTGTGTACGGCGCCCCTGCACAATGTATTGGCCTGCTTTTATGGGAGCACCAGCCTGAAGGACCTGTGTGATTTACTGGGCAACCGAATATGTCCAGAACTGTTTGAAACGATTCGCGGTCTAACCAGACTTCAGTCTGTCCCGATTCGCTAGCGCTCTGCTGGCTACTCGTGTTTTAGGTGTTATGTTGCGTGGAAAATGTGGGATGGGCGTGTCGTTTCTTGGGGAATGGTTGAGCCTTGTTGTTGGTGTTGTAAAATGCGTATTACTGATAAAATATATACTTGATTCGAGTTTCCTATTTACTTCATTCGTGTGTGACCAATCCTCGACTTTCACCGTTCTGAAGTTGTTTGTTATGTTCGTGCTGGTAACTTAGTGTCTCGTAACTGGTAGATGTTGTAAACATAGCAGCAATCAATACTTCATATAAGATCTTCTCCATTACGTTCTGTCTCTTAGAAGGGAGCATTTCGATGCTCACGCACTGCGAAAATAACTCATCTTTATTAAGACATCATTTATTTTTATCGGACACTTGGCATCGGTGTGAAAGAGTGCGAGCATCGTCACCATGGCGGAATGCATCAGTGGACAGCTCGCCACGGGCTTACGACTGGGCTGAGTGGGCAGTGTTATTACGGAGGGCCGCCCCGCCCCGACCTTCCACCCACACAGGAACACCGGTGTGAAACAGCCTGGTTAAACAGCCACACATCTGAGACACTTCGCTATAACACTGGGTCGCGACAATCGCACGATATCCACCACTTTATACCTCAGAGATATGGAAGTTCGGCAGCCCGACTAGCGGGACGATCGCAGCCCGACTATCAGGACGATCATAAGGAATTGACGAAGGGTTGGAACAAAATGTCGCTGCATCGGACTAAACGAAAGGTGGACTTCAAAGTGGGCAAATTGCGCATTTTGAAATGAATCAAGCTGAAGCCAGGCATTCCGTAACACATACATACATACATAGTATCAGCGGTCACAATATACATGGTAACTGATATTCCCTGGCACTCCGCAGATAGGTGCAACCAAACTCCCTAAAGTACAATGGAGCTCCGCCGCTACCCGCTAGAAGACACACATCGTCTTGGTTAAATGAGGCACATGCACGAATACCCTTCAAAAGTGGTGTCTCCACCCGCCCAGAATAGTTCCCACTTCCCGGTTTCTTTTTCTTCAGCAAATGTTGAAATGAAGACAATATAGCGGACAGCGCACTGACCTTGGCTCGCAGAAACACTTAATTCTACCCGTGGATACAGCGCAAGTGCAGACAAAAGCAATGGATAATATCGTGGCTGCAGACGCTACTTCACACAAAACAAAAAAGGCTGCGCAAATTGCAAAGCTCAGGGACGCGCAAAGTGCCCAACATCAAACGTTGCTTCCTTCTACAACATCGCAAACTTTTAAAGACGTAAGCTCAGTGAAGAAATCATAAAGATGAATCGAAATTAAACAAGCTGCAAAACCAAACGTGATAAGAACCTCCACATTGTACACGCCAAACACATAAAGGCACGGCTATTCAAAGAGCAAATCCCGATTTACAAAAATAAAACAGCTGCTTAAACTCCAGGCTCCTTTACGGACATGCTGCCACAGCATACATCAGGAATCTGTACATATATAAAATATTGCCTCATATGGTGAGTCGTCAGCACGTAGATCGCGCCTAATCTCATACTCTGTCCGTGGGCCTGCGAGATCCGTCGCCTTGTTGATTTCCTCAAAAAGTAGGCGCCCAAGACCGTCCACACACAGACTTGACGGATGAACTTCCTGAAAGAAATGGCCCGCAGTGAACGATAGAACTGGCCACGGGAGCATCACTGGAGTGATGCGGTGAATTAGCATAGCCAATGCGCCAGTCCTGATGGATATTTGCTTTGACCACCATAAAAGTTATGCCCATCACACTAGCGGATGAGGCGAGTAATTTATCAGGATAGAGCAACTGTAAGTGAGGAAATGCGGTTGTAAGGATCAAAATCGCTTTTATTACACCATTGTATCCCATATCACCAGGGAGCGCGAGACAGATGTTCTCGTGTCGCCGTGGCGGCTCACCTGACACCTCAGTCGACCCTCAGTCGGGAGACGCTGCGCCGACTGCTGGCTATCACGCTGTCCACCTGTCGGAGGAAGTCGTCGGCCGAGGGCAGCTGGCCGCGGCCCGGTCGGCGCGGCTCGCCGGCCGTACCACCGCCACTGCCGCCGCTGCTGCTACCCGCCTCGTCACTGTCGGAGGAGCAGACCGCCGCCGTCGTGCCCCCGCTCGGCTCCAGCGGCAGCGGCACCAGCAGCGTGCGGCGCACGTGCAGGCTGTCGTTGGTCCACAGTTTGTTTGCGCGCTTCAGCTGTTCCATCTGAAGCAAAACAAGCAGATAGCCAGCGTGAGGAAATCTTGAGCTAATATGCTACTCATGCTACACAGGTGCCAAACCCTTTTCAGATGAGCACCTGGTTACTGGTTTATGGCACTTTAAGTTCGAAGAAAACTCTTAGGATGCATTTATCCTACGCTCACATCACATTAGTCACCTAAGGTCACACGACTTGAAGAAACAGACCAGGGCCCTGTTTCACCGGTGATAGCAGCACGCTGTTATCAAATTGCGCGAGCTGACGTAATGTGATGACGTCATACTAATGACGTTTCGTCTAATCCGTGAGCTTTTTTATAGCTACGTTTGAAACAGAATTGCTGTCTCGTTGAATGCGTTTGATTTGATCGCGCGGCCGTGAAGATGTTAGCAGCAATATTTGATGACATCACACAGTTTGACGACGCCATGGTTTGTTGATGTTTCCATGGAAACCCAATTTGACACGTGTAATAGCAGCGTGCTGCTATCACCGGTGAAACAGGGCCAGAAGGCCCCCAGAAAAGACACCTTGGCTGACAGGAGTCCAACAACAGTGCTGAAACTTGCACTGAACAATTGCGCTAAACATTTATACAATTTAAAAACAATACCCTTATTTGGGTTCCACAATTTACTTTACCTACATCATGCACCACGATTGTCCAGCATTAATACTTTCATCATTACCCTTGCAATGGCAACACAACTTTCAATAGCATGAACACTATGTTCACCATCTGTGAGTACAATTAGAAACACCATCGCGGAGGCAGCCTGAGTTGCGGCTGCCACGGTCGTGCTAGCACTGATCCATCCCCGCTTACCGTCACGTTGAATTTCAGTGCGATGCCCTGCAGAGTGTCATTCTCCTGCACGTCATACTGAATGAGCCTCTCACGCCTGGTGGTGTGACTTGAGGTGGTGCCATATTTCCTTTGTCCTCCAGAGGATATGAGCCATTGTTCCTCGCCAAATGAACAAGCCATTTCTTCTGCAGAGAATCTCAATAGATCCAATGGTATCAGTAGCCTGAAACAATAGGTAGGTATGTAATATTCAGAGTTGCAGACTTAACTGGTAACCCATGGATGGACGAACACGTCTTTAGATAAATAATGATGTTGGAATTCCCAAATTAAAAATCCAGTGCTCCCGAAACTCGAAAGCCATTCTTATAATCATGACTGCCGCTTTCAGGGCACTGGGAGCAGGTCGAAACGGCGAGCATGATAAGTTTAATAAGTTCATACGCGTGTATCACAGTGCCCGACATGGTCCCATCTGCTGCAGTACCTCTGTGCGGTTCATGTTTTATGTGTTTGTTGTCGTATCGTTATCCGTAACTGGCAGCGTTTTAGTGTGACCAGCATTACGGGTAGTCAGCTGTTGGTGGTGTTGTTTACATCAGTCAGTGCCCGGCCCCGGCCAAGGTCGGATGTACTCAGATGTACTGTTCAGTGTTTACGTTTGATCGCTGAGAAGAATATAGCGTCAGCCAGAACTGCCAGTCTGTCACGAGACCACGATGTAACAACGTGGCGATCGAGGATGAGATTCATTTGCTTTAAGTCGTGGTAATCGTGAGGCGGCCGGAAGAGGCCAAAAAGATGGCGCCGACAGGACAGACGCCAGTGAAGTTCGCGGTCCGAGTGGTAGCGCGAGGACGGCGCAGGGTCTGGAGTGGACACTAAAGTGCGCACGTGTGTAGCCGATGACCGGGGCGTGTCAGTCGCGGCGGAACAGACCGGTTGCCTGTTGGGGTGGTCGCCGGGCGGTGGCCCAGAGTTTTGGCGGCGCTGGGCTGTGACAGCCATTACGGCGGTGTAAAAACCGGTAAAAAAAACGGTAAAAAAATAAAAAAAAAATTAGAAAAGTTTCTTTGTTTTGTTGGTGTGTGATTTTTTTTATTGATGCTGCTTGTCGGGTATACTGTTTGGTGATGTTTCTCGAAATATTGGCCGTTTTGTTATTGTTGGTGCAGCGAATGCCGCGCAGGGACGTGAACGCGGAAGCGGCGGCCGGCGGCGGCCTGTGATTAGTCGGCTCAGGTCGGCTGGCTGTGTCGAGCCCCGTGATTGGCTGGCCGGTGGGGGCGGCGCGGGTGCAGCGAGGGGGCGGCGGCCCGGCTCTACAGCGGCGATCAGCTGTTCGGGTCCGACGACGTCATGGAGCTGGGAGCGGGACTGCAGGCGATGGCGGTGGCACCATACCGACAGGGCAGTGATTTTGAGAGATGGCTCAGGTCACTGGAGCGGTATATGGTGGCGATGGGGGTCGAGAGCACGGCCCGAAAGTGCGCCCTACTGTTACACCTGGTCGGTCCCGATATCGCGGACCTCTCCGACTCGCTGCCGGAGGAGCCGGACGGCCAGGCGGCGGACGACGACTTCGTTCGACTGAAAACGAAACTGACGAAATACCTCGTACCCACAAGAAACGTCGTTGCGGAGCGCGGCAAATTCCAAGCGATGGCAATGGAAGAAAATGAAGACCTGGAGGTGTTCCTTGGTCGTCTCCGCGTGCAGGTGCAGCGCTGCGGGTACACGGCAGCGGAGGTGGAGCGTGAATTGCGCGACCGCTGCGTGCTGGCCAGCCGCGGAGAGCTGCAGCAGAAGCTGGTGCGTGAGGCGGCGGTGAAGGGAGCTGGCCTCACCCTGGAGGACGTCCGGAGGACGGCGCGTGCGTTCCGAGACGTCAAGGATCTTGCAGCTCAGTTGGCGGGGGCGCTGGAGCCGGCGGCGGCGGGCGAGGACACAGTACAGGCGCTGCGACGCCCGCAGCGGCCCGAGGCCGGCCGGTCAGCCGTGCCCCCGGGCACGTGTTTCCGCTGCGGCGGCCGGGGGCACTGGCGGCGGGACTGCCCGACGGGCCGGACGGGCTCGGAGCCGGACGGAGCCCGGCCGGGCAGGTCAGCCGACGGCGGCGGCGGGAGAGACGGTGGCCGAGGCAGCTACCGTTACGGCGACGGCCCCGCGGCAAGAGCGGGACCGGAGCCGGGCGGCTCCCGAGCGTCCGGACGGCCGGACGGCGGTCGGCGGGTCGACATCGGACGCGGCAGCCCGCCCGGTGGCAGGAGCGGCGGCAGGCGCTGCTTCAAGTGCGGCGACACGGGACACCTGAAGCGGAACTGTCCTCAGCGCGGACAGGTGGCATCCGTGGAAGAAATCGTGATGGCGGTGGACCAGACAGCCACACGGCGCCGGGACCGTCTGCCGCTGGTCACGGTGTCCGTCAACGGCAGGCAGATGGAGATGCTGGTGGACACGGGGTCCCCGGTGTCGATCGTGGCGGTCGGCAGCATCCCGGGACTGGAGGTGAGACCGTCCGTGATGCAGCTCCGGTCATTCACAGGGCAGCCGGTGCCCGTGCGCGGCGAGGCCACGGTGGATGTGCTGTACGGCGGCCAGCGGAGGCGACTGGACGTGGTGGTGAGCAGCCAGCTGGGACACCGCCCGCTGCTGGGGCGGGACTGGCTGCAGGTGATCCGGCTGGACTGGCGGTCACTGTTCCAGGTCAGCGAGGTCGGCGGGGCAAGCGGCCGGCGGACGCTGGAGTCGGTGAAGGCGGCGCACGCGCAGGTGTTCGCGGACGGGCTCGGTGTCATGAGTCACCAGGCGCACCTGACGCTGAAGCCGGGCGCGGTGCCGCGGCGGCTGCCACCGCGACCCGTACCGTGTGCGCTGCTGCCGCAAGTGGAGACCGATGGAGCCGGTGGGCGCCTGGACGCCAGTGGAGTGAGCAGCGGGCGCCAGTACGCCGGTGATGAGGGCGGGCGCCGGAGCCCGGAGGCAGGCGGGCGCCGGGGCGCCGGCAGGCGCCGGAACGATGAAGTCTGTGGGCGCCGGGATGTGGCTGGGCGCGGGCGCCGGGACACCAACGGAGGAGGCGGACGCCGGGTCGCTGGCGAGCGCCGGGACGCTGGCGGGAGCAGCGGACGCCGGGACACGGCAGTCTGCGGGTACCGAGTCGCTGGCGAGCGCTGGGACGCTGGTGGGCGCCGGCGCGCTTGTAGGCGGCGGGACGCCAGCGGCGCCGGGAGGTCAGGCCGGCGGGACGCCAGCGGCGCCGGGAGGTCAGGCCGGCGGGACGTCATCGGCGCCGGGAGGTCAGGCCGGCGGGACGCCAGCGGCGCCAGGAGGTCAGGCCGGCGGGACGCCAGCGGCGCCGGAAGGTCAGGCCGGCGGGACGCCATCGGCGCCGGGAGACCAGTCCGGCGGGACACCAGCGGCGCCGGGAGACCAGTCCGGTGGGGCTGCGGCGGCGCCGGGAGCCGGGTCCGTCGGGACTGCGGCGGCACGGGGAGCCGGGTCCGTCGGGACTGCGGCGGCACGGGGAGCCGGGTCCGTCGGGACTGCGGCGGCGGCGGGAGCAGAGACCAGCAGCAGCGCCAGTGGTCGGCAGCCGGCGGACAGCCGAGAAAATTCAACGTCGGCGACGCGGTGTGGGCGCGGAACTACGGTGGACCACACAAGTGGAGGCGAGGCGCGGTAGCGGCGCAGACAGGCCCCGTCTCCTACGAGATTGACGTCGGGAGCGCGCTGTGGCCGCGGCACGCAGACCAGCTGCTGGCGGCTGGACCGACCGGACCGGCGGGAACGACCGGAACGGAAGCACCGGACGGGAGCCGAGCGGCAAACGGGAGCGCGGCGGACGCCCGTTGGCACCGGAGCGCAGCAGTCGCCGAAGGAGGAGCAGGAGAGGAAGCGAGAGACGCGGCGAGAGGCGGCGGCGGTAGGCCGGACGAGCGCGGAGAAGCGGGAGCCGTCCCCGGAACTGCCCAGGATGGCAGTGCCGACGAGCCGGAGCAGGCGAGCGGCGCGATGGGGGGCGGGGCGCGAGATGAGACGGGGGGCAGACGGCGGTCTGAGCGGCGACCGGTGCCGCCCAAGCGCCTCATCGAGGAAATGTGAAACGGTGTGTAATTGATCAGCCTAGCTGCTCAAGAGGGGCAGAGTGTCGTATCGTTATCCGTAACTGGCAGCGTTTTAGTGTGACCAGCATTACGGGTAGTCAGCTGTTGGTGGTGTTGTTTACATCAGTCAGTGCCCGGCCCCGGCCAAGGTCGGATGTACTCAGATGTACTGTTCAGTGTTTACGTTTGATCGCTGAGAAGAATATAGCGTCAGCCAGAACTGCCAGTCTGTCACGAGACCACGATGTAACATTTGTGACAAACACTCACTTGGTGTGCTGCCTGCCATCAGTAGTAGAAAAGCCAAATTTATCTTTATTTCAGCTTAGCTACCTGCCACTTTTCACTGTTGGGGAGGGTTTTTTATTTTGATTTCTACCTACCAAGTACTCAGCAACCAAATAAAAATGTAGGGTACAGTGCCCTAGGGTAACTTTCAGCGGTTCATCCAACCTCCTCTAAGCTCATCCATCCTATCAATTAAAAAATGGTTTCTGTTGCTCCTCTATGCTAATCCTGATTCGACATCTCATCACCATTTCCCTCTTCCCTCATCCAATACAAAAGTTGGATTTTTTATGAGGCTTTGCTGAAACATATTTTGGCACACGTAAGACAAATATGGATTGTTTATAGGTGATATTTAATCGAAAAAGAAATTATTGCAGAAAATGAGAAAGGTACCGTAAAATGGGGTGTTAAGGGACAGTTTTGAGGTGTTTTGTTATATAACTCAAGAAGGGTTGGGGATAGAAGCATCAACTTGTCAGCATTTTATGTGGAATTTAGTGCTTTACATGCCTGCTACATTAAAGTTTAAAAATATATACACGCATATTATTTTTTATTATTTTTCATCGCTGTCCCTTAGCACCCCAATGTGGGGTTTTAAGGGACACCTATATTATTCCTAGAAATGGTCATCAAATGCCCACAATTGGGGTGTGAAAGGGCACACAATTTATTTATTGAAATGTTTTGCATATTCTGTCACAAAAGAAGTCTGGTTCATTCACCACTAATGGCCTTTTTAGCCAATTACATGTAATGCAGTTTATGCTTCTGGAAAATGTGCTAACTATGAGGTAAATAGAACCAAAAAGTACCTTTCTGTCATCAACAGAAACCCATTTTGAAGCTAGTCACTTGTCATTATGTTGCCCTCTTTGTTTTGGCCTTTTTATGATGACACCACATTTACCTACATCAGTCTTCATTGACCCATCATTGTAAAAGATAGTGTTAAGGGAGTTTTGAGGTGTTTTGTTATACAACTTAAGATGTGTTAGAGATGAAAGCATGAACTAGCCAGCATTTTATGTGGAATTTGGTGTTTTCCATGCCTACTGAAAGAAAACTTTATGAAATTATATTTATATATTATTTTTATTTTTTCTTCCCTGTCCCTTAGCACCCCACATCCACCTCAAAATACGCATGTGTCCAGAAAAGAGGAAGAGGATGATGAATGAATAGGTGGATTTGTATAAGTTTTCAGGAAACATGTGCAATACATGTGACAATACACCTATGCATTCATTTTACCTGTACACCTTCTAGTTTATGTGGTACACACAGAGTTTTGGAGATGTCTCAGTTTTGTGAAAATGTAGCATAATTTTCAAAACCATTTTTGAACCAAATCACTTGCATGAAAAACCATGCCATTTTGTCTTTTAGTCAAGAACAAAACAGTGTCAACTACCACACTCAATTTTTTATTTAACCTTCTCAAATTAGGAACTTAACATGACTCAAAGTTTTTCCCACGCAACTGTCCCTTATCACCCCACTGTCCCTTAACACCCCATTTTACGGTAATACATTTTTTGAAAATAAGTAACAATATTTATCCATCTTTTTTCATTCAAAGCAATGGTTATCTCAAATTTCAAAATAATGTTGCCGCCCAAAAATTTCCAACTGTTACAGCCCACAAACAGGTGATTTCCTTGCAGACATGTTCCCTTGGCTCCTCAAAATGGTTCTCCTTTTAGCTCACATCCAACCTCTTCCAAGATTTTCTAGATTTAGCACTGGAACAGGTCATTTCCTCTTCCTTTTCTCCAGCCATTCAAAAAAAAAAAACATAATGTGAAAAATAACAGTTATCAGCCAACCCTTGATTTAGGTTATTATAGCCCTAGGACTTGAGCAAGCCAATTCATCATGTGTTCTGCATGGGGATGTGTGGGTAGTGGTATGGTTGTTTGGGCAGTCCTATAGCAGGCGTCACACTTGCATGTAGGGGAAAGTGGGTGTATTGCGCCCTCCTAACCAATTGCGCCCGCCCACATTCCCACGAATTCAATGGCATGTTAAGCATTTTGTTTTCGAAAACATTATTTTCACCACTGGATAGTTCCTTTTATGGCCCAAGCTCTCCGATGAAGCCAATCAGCAAGGCACATTACGCCATCAAAGATATTACGGCGTTTTCTTAACTTTTTTGCAGCATTTTGAACCGTTGGCTATAAAAATAGGCGATACATGTGTGATTTTGAGAGTGATATTTAGAAAGAAAAGTCCTTTTTTCATTATATTTCACTGAAACAGTAAACATCCTTCAGCATCTTTATGGTAACTTCTACGCTTTTATTAAAAAGTACCTCAATTTTAATTGCGCCCATGGCAATTGCGCCAGGGGGGCGCAAATAGAATAATGGTGTAGCTATTGTATTACAACAGTATGAATGCATCATTAACCCATTGCAATAAAGAAGGAGTTTTATGTCAGGCAGGGGAGCAACCCGCCATTGTCAGTCCAAAAATTATTTCTCTCATCGAACTTATAATGTAGCTGCCATTTGGGCTATGAACTTGCGATATAATTGACAAAATACGGCATTTTTAACATGGACACAGGCGTGAGAGCTGACAGATATGATACAAAGTAAAAACTGATGTCAAAAAAGTTGTAGAAGCAATACAAAATATTAATTTTGAGAGAAACGATTGAAAATATAACCGTCTAGGCGCATACGTTCATATATATCTAGTCGGTTACATCAAACGTTTTCGTTCCACTTCAAAAGCATACCGGACACAAATAAAGTTATTTACCTGCGCAAAAAAACATCGCAATTTATATCTACATTTATTATGTATCGAGCTTGATTCACATAACACATGTTCAAGTAAGCCACAATGACATAGAATGCCGGAGTGTATGCATTCCGTCTCCTTTGCTTAGCCATGTTAAAGGATAGGGCGCAATTGGATTCTAATTGCGCCATCCCCCTGGCGCAATTTACAGCAGTTGTTGGTAAATGCGCCCTTTTGCATGTTTTTGAAAAAGCAACTGTCAGAAGCAAACGAAACATTTTTAATTGATCGGGAGGCTCTTAAATCGTAGCTAATGAGTTCCTCTTTAAAATGGTTACCAGTGCATGCTTACATCTCCAGTGGTTTTCTTACGATTAGCGTTTTTCCATAAGGTGGCGCAATTCACCCTCCTTCCCCTAAATGGCTGAAGGTAGTGGTACGAGCTGTGGCCTTGAGACTGGCTCTAGTGTTGCCACAATATAATATGTCACACAGAAGTTTGTATGTGCATATTAAAGCTCTCCCATCCTGTCAGTGTTTCTACAATCAGAACTCGACAGCAAGAAGAGCAATTATTTGTACATGGAATGGTTTGTAATGAAGACAATGCATACACGCATTAATACAAGCAATTCAATTCGAATTCAGATTGAGGGTGATTTGGCTTGTGACTTGTGGGAAACTTTCAGAGACAAAGTTAATAACCAGCAGTCGCCCACTCTTCAGACGCAAATTTTTCCTCCTCTTCGATTGGTAAACATGACTTATTGACAATGCAAAAACATTTGAATTTACCCGCTCCCATCACATATATGGCCTTGCCCATCACACCGTTTAAATCACAGCCTCTCTAAGCTTTGTCCGCTTTGTCAACTATGAAAAAGACAAAAAAAAATATGAAACGCCGTGGCCGCGCCATAAATGCAACAAAATCACCGACCAAGGATACAAAATTGTCAGAGGATTGAGGATATTTTGTATTCGTGACGTCATATTGAAGTGAAACATTCTAGCACGGTGACTATGCCTAAATACATTCTAGCGATTGAGACATGCTGTAGAGTTCAGTGGATTTTTAAGATGAATGAAATCAAATCTAGATTCTAGATGAAATATTTTAGCCCGTCGAGACTCGAGAGCAACATTTCTGCTCCTTGGGTCATCGTCGGGAGGTGCTGATTTACCAATCTTGGATTTAATTTACCCTATCTGTAAGAATCTTGGATTTACCTGGATTTACCCATGGGATAGAGACTTTGTTGTATAGTCGACTACAGAATGACGTTCCACTCCTCAGAAGCTATCAGTTGACAGGAGCGCTAAGTTGTGCCGGGTGCGGCTAATTGTGGGCTACGCTTTTGCGAAACCGCCAAGTTGCAGCCCAACTCGACCAAAGCGAGATACCACCATTAGCCGCACCCCATCTGTGGCGGCCGTGCCAAGCCGACGCATGCTGTGACGTCACCGGGTAGGAGAAGATAACGTACCAACTCAGACCGACTCAGATAGACTCAGAACCACTCAAACTGACTTAGACCGACTCAACCGACTCAAATCGATTCCTATCGACTCAGGCAGACTCAGAACGACTCAGGCAGACTCAAACCGACTCAGCAGACTCAAACTGGCTCGACCAACCATGGGTGTAGTTTTCCAAAAATCATTGGGGGTGCTCAATAGCTTTCAGAAAGGCATTCCATAGTTTTTGTATTTTTTTTTAGCTGTTCTTTTTTACTGTAGCCATCAGGCATCATGCAAGAAATGATGTTAAATCGGTTCGAGAGCTTGTTTTAATAGCGCCACTGTAAAACAATTTTGGCTCACCCAATGCATTAACCCGCGCGGGGCTGGGGTCTCCACTCTCCAGCCGAACGCGCGGGGCTGAGGGGGATAAATTTTACCCCCCTGTTATCTCCCGAACTATTGGTCCGATTTGGAAAATTCAAACGCCAATCGAAAGATCTCATCACGAATAACTAAACACATGCACTTAATTTAAAGTTTGAGGTCAAGGTCAAGGTCAGGTCAAGGGTACAAATTGCAAGTTTCTACAGTATCGGCCTTGCACCGTAGTTGCCGAAGAATGGAGTCATGGACTGAGACTGATTGCCAAAAACGTGTTTGGGCCTGACCTTGGCCATAAGTTTGGCAGGCCAGATTTTGTACTGGACCATTTTGAGTCAACTTTGAGAAATACATAACGTACAACGGTGGTAAAATCGTTGCTATAGGTATAACACAGTTTACCCGCTCCGGGTGTGAGGGAGGGGTGTGGGGCAATGAGTGCACTGACGTGGCGCCCTCGGAGGGCCGGTATGGGATTAAAGCTCAGCTACACTAAGGGCTTGTGTTGTGCCTTCAGTTATCGGTGGCACCCTCAGAATCACCGGCGTAGGGCCCTCAGAGCCGCCGGTAAGGGAGGCACCGGTGTGGGG